CGCAAACGAACCTTGTTTATAATATAGTAGAATTGTCTGTATGTGTGCAAGCGGGATTTGATCTCATGTAGTTTCTTCGCTTTCTCAGAGTTTTATTTTTACACACGAGAATTGACTGAGACTTGTTGTTAGCTATTCAGGTGAATTTGCGAAATGTAAAAAATAACTCGATCGGTGGTTAAAGCCAATTAAACGAACGGATCTTTTGAAGATTGGTAGGTTTTATACCATGCCCCTCAGATACGGGTGTTGGACTAGTGATAGTGATTGGAGGCAACAAGTCACGTGGGATATAAAGCGTGTCGATTGAATTACTGTGCCACACACTAGTGCTGATGATCGCAATCAGTACTGTGAAGATACCGCGTTTAATTTCTGTCAGGGAATCGAGGTTATTCATCATAATTCTGGACGCGATATACGATCGCGGTAAACCGATCACGCAATCGGCGAACATGCGACTTAAAAATCTGAGAGCTTCATTGTAGATCGTCGTAGCACTCGCGGTTTCATCTCGATGAATTGTATAAGCCACCTCCGATTGACACCATCGTTGACAACGTTCAATGAAATAGGATAACGTCGCCTGTTGATAGACATTCAGAGAAGATAGACATTCTTTTGTGGCGCGAGTCATATTGTTTGTAGCATCTTTCCTGGTCTGTAGCCGTGGATGAACGAAGTAACCCTTCTGAAGTACTGAGTCACAAAAGCTGTCTGTTGCCACAAACGGAGGGTTTTCCAAACGGAGAAAAAGCAGTTGGAGTAACTGAGCCACCTGTGATAACTTGCAATTATCAATTATCTGCTGACAAATCTGGGCGTTATTCTTAGCTGTTGTTAATGTGGTAAGAATGCGATCACAGTCTTTCATACTGAGTTCACTGATGCCAAAACAAAGATTTCGCAGTGGTGGTACCTCTTTATCAATTCTTTCCACAAGTTGCATAAGAATGCTTGGCACATTCGGAAGTGACTGGAGCAGTAGTTGTCTGTATGTCAGGGATCCCGGAAACGCAGTAACGACATTCAATTTATCTAATTCCGGATACAAATTTGATTCAAGATGTGCTTCTTCGAATGCATGGATGGAGGCTTCGGTTCTATCTGAAGTGTCTGTTCGACTGCCTGTACTGGTCTCTGACTGACTCCTTGTGTCATAGTTCGCATTCCGAGTACTTCGTGGCATGTACCCTGTAAATTATTGGCGAACAAATAAGTCAAGCTCCGACTCTGATACAGCGGCAGGTCATTCAAACAACCGCTAACCAGATCAATCACGCTGGGTCACATGATGCGAATGGTCCAACTCTGGTTCAGATTAGCATCTGGATATCTACTGGTTTAGAGCAATCATGTCGCCTGCCAACTGATTCAGTGTTCTTATTATCCTCTGCTTTTAAAGCTAGATAAAGTTGTAATAAAGAAAAATTCAAGACATACACAGGTCTCACAGACGAACTCTTGCAAAACAAACTTAACTACAAATTTTCATAGCTCAGATTTCATCATTCATCCGGTAAATCCTCAAGCACGAAATTATCTCGGCTTTGACGATTTTAGTACAGGGACTTCGTGCTAAAGTTTGTGTATTAGAAAGTACACTGCTACCAGTACAGTTTGGAATATTGTTCGATACTCCAAATAGTTTGGACTTTTGGAAACGAAATCATTGAGTCAAAGCACTGCAATAATTGAGAGGTCATTGTGATCGTTGATTAATACTGCCCATCGACTGTGATCTTTCAGAGCTTGGTTGGCTGTGGACTTTCCAATATGTTCTAAATTTAGCACCGATGAAATCGGAGTAGAGTGGGAGTTCAAGTTCATCAGAGTTAACGTTCTGCGAGGTAGAAAATCAGGCTTCAGTCACTTTAAGTTTGTAAACAGTTGAAAACACTGTACATGCCCGAGTCCCGTCAGAGAAACGGAAGATTTTCAGCATCCCCAGTGAGAGGACATGATCGAACAACCTAAAATAGTGTAATTCCAAAAAGCAATTTCTTTACTAATGATCACAGTAACACAGGCCAGAAGCACTCCATCATTCACAGTAAATAGTGTAACATATTGTATGGAAATCGCACCGGATTCCTTTGTCATCTTCTAGAAGCTCACCTGGATGCCACCGCTGGACATAGTTCCCAACGTAGATGCCGTGTAAATAAAATTAAAACCTGTACATCAGTAATCAGAAGGAAAGCGTACTCATTCAATATCTTTTCAGACCAATGTTTTGGTTCTGTCGAAATCGTGTTGCAATACGCTTGGTAGACTACACTCAGAAAGACCTTTAATAAACACTCACCGTTTGAAACAGCCAAAGACGTTGACATAATCAAAAAAGTCAAACGAGCAATACCCACATCTTTGTTTAAAGACGGGTGCAGCAGAACGTATAATATGGGCGAAAGCGTCATATGTGGATAGACGGGCTTTGTAGGCACACCGTGATGAACCACGGAATTTATATGGGGCTGTCATGCGGTGCAGCAAAACATTCTCAAAAGCTTTCAGCCACACAGAAGTGAAGGCAACTGGACGGTATTTTGACCATCAATTCTGTGGGATTGGTTTGATCCGAGATCGTTCCGAATGACAAATAAGTGCCGAACAGTTCAACATTGACGGTAGCAAGCTGACCGGCGCATGCTTCTGACAAATGGGGTGCTAATCGATCGGGATCATGTGCTTTGTTGACCTTGAGTCCCCTCAAGACTTGAAGAACCCCGTCCGGAGAAACAGGATTAGTCACCATGTAGGTTGGAAAAGAGGCGGAAAGGAAATTGAGGCAGATATAGAAAGGAATTACTGATTTGGCTCCTCAACTTTGGGACGAGAGTTCCCGCAAGATTAATCGCATCTCATGACAGGTCTCAACTAATATTCCTTTCAGG